AGAGAGAAGTAGGGGTTTGTATGTATTTTTGTATGTATTTCAATGCATACAAACCCCTACTTCTCTCTTTACAAATTCCAGCTGAAAATCCAACATGGCTGCCATAGTCAAAGAACATTGGAAGTTGGAGCCATTTGCACACACGCTATCAGACATCAATTTTCCATAAAATTCAGAAAAATACTTTGTCCTCGATTTGTAATGCTAATTCTACTGGAGCATCCTCTAGCTAGCAATTGTAATAGATTTAATTTGGGAGTCATGTCACTCTGAGCTGCTTTCTCAAACCAAGCCTACAAACCACAGCAGTGACTTAAAACACTCTGTGTTCATTTTTGCTTCAAAAACTGATGCTAGACATGCCAGAAAAGATGATTGTTGTGGCCCATCACTGAAGCATCAGCAGCACAGATGTACCCAATGCTAATGTTAGCATCCACATGTCTAAAGAAGTATTTTTTTCAAAGAAGCTGCATGGCTGATGAGGGAAACACTTGAAAGCTGAATAAATATAATAGGACTTTGCACCAATATCATGGCTGATTAACCTTGGCAGATAAAAAAAGAATATTTTTGTTGTTGAGCTCATCTCTCTATTCATTCAATAATTTGACAGCTAAAAAAGGGGTTTTTGAATGGAAAATAATTTTTTTTGTTCAATGATTAGATTAAATTGTGATTAATCGTAATAAATTACAGACCAGTTAAAGATTGTTATCGATTCTCATCACTAATAAAACTTCATGTGATGTGTTTTGTTTGTGGTCCAATAAAATACCTTGTGACAAAAAAAAAAAAAAGAAAAAAAATGAAGGAGAGATGACTGGGCTACTGTCCCTTTAAGCCCTTTCTAAACTCAGGCAGAGAGGATGTGTTCAGTTTTCTTTGGAGAGTGGGTGTGGGGGGTGGGGGGCACAGAGGAAGGGTCTGCCCATGGCCCAATTCATGCTATTATCGCCACTGGATGTAAGGTTAGGGTTAAACTTTAATGCTGAAAATCTTTGTTAAATTAGTTCTGCTGTGAGGGCTGATCCAGACAACCCGTGGAAAACTCAAAGGGGTTCAGCTTTTCACTGTTTAACTCGATCAAATCACGAATTAAAACCAAAACTTTCAAGCGAGTTGGAGCTAATCATAAAATATCCCCACATAGCGAGCAGTGCAGCTGAAGGTTTTAGCCAACAAAATCCACTAATCCAAAGAAATAAAGGAATCCGCCGTGTGGTTATTGTTGGGGGGCGGAGGGGGGGTTTATTTATTAATTTTTTTTCCCACCGTGGATGTGACTCCAAGTCGAATGCCTGGATTTTGTGCGTGAAGCGCGGATGAAAGCCGCGGGGCGAGGAGGAGGCTGGGCGAATAACGCGCAAGGATCAAGTCTGTTGAGAGGCAAACTATTTTGTGCAGTTTGAGGGGCGGCGGGGAGGATCTGTGGCTTGGAGCCATCACCGAGCTGCTGGAAGGAGAGGCATTCTTCACGGTGAGGAGGGGGCGGAGGGACGGAGGAGAGGAGAGGAGAGGGAGGGAGAGGTGAGCGGAGCAGGCACGTCGCACTATCAACTGAATCCATCTTGGAAAAACAGCTCGCAGGGAGTCCGAGCTCCGAGTTGCGCAGACAGAAGAAAAGACTTGAGCCTCCCGACTTTTTCCCTTTTTCTTTTTTTTTTTTCTTTCTAAAAAAAAAAAGAAAAAAGAAATAAAAGACGGACGCAGCTGCCCGCCATGGCCCGCCGGAGCGGATCGGGAGAGTGCGTCCTCGCCGCGCGGAGACGGTGTGTGAGCGGGGAGCCGCGTTCCTCGGTCCCGGTGCGCCGCGGACTGTGCTGAGTGGAAGCGGCGGAGCTTCTCGCTCTCGCTCCAGACAGACGCACGCACCCGGTGAAAAAGTGCGGACGGAGGAGGAAGCGGGGAACCCATGCGGGGTAAAAATGTTGCGCCGTTCCGAGGAGTCGTCGGCTCCACGCCGCTGATGGGAGCCTTTTACGCACGGACACGCAGCGGGACCGCACGAAGGACGGAGGACCAGAGAGAGGGCGAAAGTTAAACGCGGCGGCGGGGGATCGAGATGGACGCGGGGTCGCAAAAGGTACGGAGAGCATCTGATGTTAAAGCGGGAGCGAAATGGAAAGAAATGCATGAGGCTCTGGCCTAAAACACATTACGACCCAAGAGTTTTTCTATAATGTATGCGCACAGAACAACTCGACCTCTCTACAGTCATCGCGTTATACACTTTTGTTGTTGTTGTTTTTTTTCCAATTAATTTTACATTTTCAGTCCACGTCGGTTGGATGCCGTGGATTGCTGCGCTGTAGGTTTTTATTTCTCCTCCTTTTCTGTGTGATTTAGAGCTTTTCTCTCTCCTGCCCCCTTCCTTTAGAAATAACTCATTCAGATGAACAGCCCTTTCAAGTGTACCTGATCGCCTTCTTTCTAAAAGCCCCTACCCGTTAGAAAAAAAAAAATAGAAAACTTTTTTTTTTTTATTGTGTTTCAGGCGCTAAGCCCAGTCCTAATCGGATTGTCCTGGCCGCGTATCGCCGCGTTCATCTGGCGGTGAGAAACTGTGCTCCCTCGACTGGAAATGAAATTAAAGAAAAGAAGAAAGAGAGGAGGGGGAGAGATTTAAAAAAAAAAAAGAAAGAGAGAGAGAGAGCACCCCCTGACGCGCCGGTTCCTGTCTCCATTTGACATGAGGGAATTTTGGTGTTTTCCTGTAAACTTGTGCTGCTTTTTGAAGGTTATAATTTGGATTCTTGGAGGCGTTTGATTCACCCTGCCATAATAATCTTGATGCTGCTGCCTTCTGCTGTTGATTCAGCCGCATTTTATGGCCTCCTGCGGTTGCTTATCCTGATCCCCACCCCTACACCACCACCACCACCCCTGAAGCTTATTTGATTAAATTTAGCTCTTTTCAATTTAGAAAAGTAGATCAGAGATGTGTGTCAAAGGATTGCTTCTCTGGCTCCCATCTCCACAACAAGCAAAGGCTGGGGATATTTCTTTAAAGCGTGGCTATATATGTTGCATATTTGGGTTGAGTCGATAAAACCAGTTTAGACGATGATGGTTCGGGAAACGGAGAACCCAGTTTTTGTTCCTGAAGGGTCCATTGACTGAGCATCACGGTCCTGGAAGTCACAGAAAGTAATATTGCTTTGTTTTCTCAAAAAGAGCAAATCTAGCATCACTTTGGAGAAAAGCTGCGAAGCTAATGCTAACGTTGCTGGTTTCTTAGCTAACAGTTAGCTAAAAACTGTGACGTATTCTGGAGCTGCTTCCATATATGTTTGCCAGCGTCTCTTTTCTCACGTGAGCGTCCAAAATGCGTCCATATAAATGAGTGAAGTGTTACATGTTTTTTTCCCAATGAGTCATATGTATGTTCACTCTTTAAAGCACTCACTTTAGTAAATGGATCTTATAAGAATAGTCTATTCTAATAGGCCCAATCGAGGTATTGGTGGCATACATACTGTAAAACTGCATACACACACACACACACATATATATATAAATAAAGGTGTGAGATATTTTTCATAACTAATTAGCTATGAATTCTTTTGCTTTCATGTTTAACTAAGGGTAACATGGTGATTTCTTCACTTTCTAATCTATCCATAGCTACTAATCCCATAAAAAAAACTGCAGCATATTTTTCCACGTTTATATTTTAGAATTGTTAGCGTAAAACAAAAAAACCGGGACCAGTCAATGAGACGTGATCAGTACATCTGTTGATCCATCGATCTTTTTTTTTTTTTTTTTAAATACATTTTACCCGTTATGGATGCCAGATGTAATTCGCCCCAAATTTCATTAGCGAAAGCGTCCTACTCTCTTTAAAAGAGACATGAACTCTGTCTGTTTTCCCAATCCGTCTCTTTCTGGCTGCTCCAAACCGAGCAGGAACCCTTCATCTACACTCATGGCCACTGCAGTGCTTAACATTCAACTCCTCGCTCCCACCGCTGTGGCCGACTCGGGGAGGGGCTTTGGTCAGAGCTGAAAGCTGCAGATGACGACCACTATCTTTAAATCACGCAAAGATGGCAGAAGAGGTGTTTGATGACTTGTAAAAGTTGAAATAATGGATCTGGAGGGGTGGTGCTAGTGTTGGGGTTGGTACTCAATATCTCCCCAATGCTAAGTTATGTTTATGCATTGCAGCTTGAAGGGGAATATGATTTTTCCAATCCCATTCCAGTTGGCAGGTCATGTATGTTACGCCGATCCGAAGGAGGAGCCGACACGCAGTGTCTCTATTCCTCGACTGCCTCTGCTCCCCCAATGTCCCTGGCCTTAAATCTGCACGTCATTCCAGTCTGCGCTGGTAATGACAAGCTCCTCTGCGGGCCACCGGCAAAACAGTCGCCTCTGTTTACAGTAAGCAGGCGTATTTACTCGTGCACCTCTCCGTGCAACGTCTGCGCAAGCAGCTGGAAATACAGAGAAAATAATAACAATAAAAGCAGGTTCAGCTCTCATTTATTCCCCCTTTCCTCATGTTGTCTCCTCACCAGGTACCGTCTTGTGCATCCATGTTGGCACTTAGAAAGCCGATGTCTTTATTAGCCTTATCTCTTTTTATCATGCTTTCCATTAAGCGGGCCCCGATGTTGCCGAGAAGCCCTCGTGAATCCATGAGTGAGTGTCCTTGCAGTGCTCTATTACCTCCTTTGATAGAGCGCGAGGGGAATAAAAGCCTTCTTTATGTCTGTGAGACCGGATGTGCGAGAGCTGTTCTGAATATTTATCAGATGGCTCCTTTTTGTTTTTTTTTCCTATATAACATAGTCGGTATATAATTCCAAACAATATGTGACCTGGGTTGTCTATTCAACAGACAGGGACACATCGATGGAAAAGTGTGTGTTTGTATGTTAAATAAAGGTACATAAGGCTCGGAAGAAAAACTGAAGTCCCTATTTTTCAAGAATTAACCTTCCTTGGAAAAAAAAAAAAAACTTATCGAGCTTCCCTTCATTTTCCCACAGGTCTCTGGATCCAAATGCCGCCCCCTGCGGGCTCCGCGGTGGTCTGGGACCAGCTGTGTGTGACGGACAGGCAAGCGAAGCCTGCGGCGGCCTACTCCTGTGAATCTTCAAATTGGCCCCGGCTGAGCTCTTTGTGGCGCGGCGAGTGAAGGGTCCCAACATTGTTTGACGTCTCAGCATGGATGGAGTCACCGCCGTGAATGAGGCTGTTGCTCTTCAGCTGAGGACTAGCATTTATGGGATTACTGTCTTTGTTCCCAACTAACGGTAAATTGTTGGTAGACTCTCCTTTGGTGGACATTTTTGGCCAGGTCTGCTTTTTTTTGTTTTTGTTTTTTTTTGTGGATACCAAAATTGCCCTTTTTTGAGGGAATATATTTTTAAAATTTTTGGTTTTCCGTTTTTTGGTTTTCCACTATGGAGTTTCTTTCTGGACCGTGGAATAAAGATTGGGCATCATTTTTGCAGTTTTGGTTGACTGTCATCCTTAGCCTTCAAATGCAGTTCAGCCCAATTGCTTCTTGCCCCCAAGTGTGCCGTTGTGACAAAGCGTTTATATACTGCAACGAACGCAGCCTGACATCAGTGCCTCTGGGGATAGGGGAGGGCTACAGCATCCTCTTCCTACACAACAACCAGATCAACAATGCCGGCTTCCCTATGGAATTTCACAATCTAGAATCCATAGAAGTTGTTTATCTGTATGGCAACCAGCTGGATGAATTCCCCATAAATCTGCCCAAAAACACAAAAATCCTGCATCTTCAGGAAAACAACATACAAACAATCTCCAGAGCAGCCTTGGCTCAGCTGAGTAAACTTGAGGAATTGCACCTTGATGATAACTCCATCTCTACAGTGGGGGTGGAGGAAGGGGCCTTTAGGGAGGCGCAAAGCCTTAAGCTCCTTTTCCTTACCAAGAACCACTTAAGCAGTGTTCCTATTGGCCTTCCTGAGGACCTGAAGGAGCTGCGGTTGGATGAGAACCGCATAGCTGTTATTGCAGAGGAGGCCTTTCAGAATGTGACGCGCCTGCAGCGTCTCCTGCTGGACGGGAACCTACTGACGGACGAGGGCATAGCACCAGGGACTTTCAGGGACCTGGGCTCTCTCCGAGAGCTGGCTCTGGCTAGGAATTCCCTCACCTTTCCCCCACCTCTCTTACCCAGCCAGTCTCTGGTCAAGCTGAGTCTGCAGGAGAACCTGATCGACCAGATCCCTGTGGCGGCCTTTGCCGACCTGAACAGGCTCGAAAGACTGGATATTTCCTCCAACCACCTGCAGACTCTTACACAAGGAGTGTTCAATGGCCTGTCGAGCTTAAAGCACCTCATGGTGCGCAGCAACCCCTGGCGTTGCGACTGCTCTGTCAAGTGGGTGGTGGTGTGGCTCAAGTCATTGCCGTCCTCCATCAACGCCAGAGGGTTTGTGTGTAACAGTCCAGAGAAGGTGCGAGGCATGACAATCAGAGAGCTCACGCTGGATATTATTGAGTGCCCTATTTTCCCTGACCAAACACCCTGGCCCACCCTCCGCTCCACACCCCCTCCTCCACCCACCACCGCCCCTATCACAACCATGATTTCCACCCTCATCACCACATCTAACCCTTACTACTTTGACTCCCCCTCTCCTCCCTTACCACCCATCCATAATAACCCCCCTGGGCCACTTCCCCCCTATGAGGATCCCCTTCAGATCTCCTTCCATGTGATCAACTCCACCAACATCGAGGTGAGCTGGGCGTCCTATTTCACTGTCACAGCTTACAAAGTCACTTGGGTCAAAAGTAGCCAAAGGCAAAACGAAGGGATGCGGGAGAGGACGGTGAGCGGGGATCGGCGCCACTTAAGCCTCGCTGACCTCGAGCCCCGCTCGGTGTATCGGATCTGCGTTCACGTTCTGGACACCCTCAACTCCTACAGACCAGGAGAGGATACTATCTGCTCCGACGCCAGGACCAAGGCGCCCGCTTCCACTAAGCCTCCCGGACGCGAGCAAGCCCCGCAGGACACCCTGAACTCCACGCTGCTCATGGCTGGGATTATAGGCGGAGCGGTCCTCATCATCCTGGTGACGCTGCTGGGCTTGTTCTGCTGGCACATGCACCGGAAGAGCCGGTCGTCCTCGACCAAGTGGAAATACAACCGCGGGCGGAGAAAAGACGACTACTGCGAGGCGGGAACCAAGAAGGACAACTCCATCCTGGAGATGACTGAGACCAGTTTCCAGATAGTGGCTCTGAACAATGAGCAGCTGCTTAAGGGAGACTTCCGGATCCAGCCCATTTACACACCCAACGGGGGCATTGGATTTAGAGACTGTCACCTCAGCAACAACAGCATAGCCTACTGCAAGAGCAGCAATGTGCCCAGTACAGAGTTCTGCCACACGTGATGCAGAGCTCGGACGGATACGGACCAGAAAAAACTGCTTAAATACACACTGTTTGTGTAGATGACATCTAAAAAAAATATACAAAAATTCTAGTGAAATATAACTGTACCATATATATTTCCAAGATATGTCTACAATGTAATTTATACTGTGGATAATAATGTGGGATTCTCTGCTATCTTTTTTATTCTTAGAAAAAAAGAGACACAAGTGGGGTTTTTTTCTTCTTTTTTTTAACCAGCAGGGTTTTGAAAGTCGTTTCAACGGTCAGTACTGTACACGAACATAGGTTTGTACAATCACAGCACCCTGGTGTAGCTCCTGACAGACAAATATAGCGTCAGCCTCGGAAACGAAAGGGCCGCTCCGGAGGGCTGGGATCCTTTTGCTAACCACAGAAACAAAATATGACCTTTTCTGGTTATTATCCTCACAACTCCAAAAATGATTATTCCCTCCCACCCCAGTCACTCCCTGGTAAACCAGAGCAAGGGGAATTGAAGCACTGCTGATTAGTGTTGTAAAATTTATATATATATTTATATAAGACCACCTTCTTATTGACAGCAGCCAGACAGGAAGTGAGTAGGTGACTCGAGGTGATGGAATTGTGGATAGAGAATGTCAAATTTGAGTATTTGTTGAAAATTTCCCAAAAGTGCCACACGATGATAAAACGCGTCTTTGTTCTGTTGCTTCACAGAGGAGGATGGAAATAGTCGTGACACAAACAAGAAGTCTAGGAAAGGATGTTGTGCAGCTTCCAGCAAAAATAATTAATGTGGGCTTAGAAGCAACAAAAGGATTGTTGTCTGTAATGAGGAGACTTGAAGCTGCATTTCTAATTGTAACGTGCACTTCTGTCTTTTTCTTGGCCTAATCTTTTGGCCACAAGGGGGCAGGTTTTCCTTCATCTGCTGAGTGTGGGACCAAGTAACGGTAGAGAGGCCAGAGAGATCACTTTACCTCCACCGTTCGTTCTCCCCAGAGCCTTTTGCCCAGACAGCATTACTCACGCTCAAGCAGCATAGTCATGCTCATCGAGCTACTTAATGACACGGAAGCTTTTAAAACTAACAGTGTTTTCAGCGTTTGGTGGCTAAATGATATGGATTTTCAGCTACAGCATAAAGATTCCTCTGAGATTGGAGCAAGAACGAAAGAGGGGAGGAATGATGAATTTGCAGATGGCTTACACATAACGCTAATTATACACCTACATATTTCATCCTTGTCCCGCCGTTTATTAGACATAGTGATGAATTAGAAAATGACTTTGAGATCACACCCCGCCCATGATCACGCCGAGCTCTTCGCCTAGCTCATCATTATTTATCTCTTTGTCCCCACCCAGCACCCCCACCCCCTGCGAGGCGCCTTATTTCATTTTCGGGTTTGCTCGTCTCACACGTTTGTACCTGCTCTCTTCAGAGCGACAGTAGCTGGAAGGATGACTCGCACTCTGTCCAACCCGATTTACCCTTCATTTCTGGGCTGCATGCTCTTGATCCCTGCATGGGCTCAATTAAAACCCTCTTCCTGCCCTCCGGCTCAGACGCAGCAGCAGCAGCAGCTCTTCAACGTGTGAGAGGTCTCCATTTATGCACTTCTTAGGACTCTATTTGATCTGACACAATTTGATTTTAAGGCGGCCAAGCTTAGAGAATTCCCACCCACCTCTTTCCTCGTAATCCTACCAAAAAAGGAAGAAAAATATGTCAACCGTATTTTCACTCGGCCGCATGAAGCCCGCTCTCGATGAAGCAGCCTGTAACTCTTTGCGAGGCTCCACAGACGTGTGCAAACGTTTGCAGCGGCAAAACGTTCCAGATTTTTCCTTTTCCAAAATCTCTTGGTTTTAATTTCAGCCATGATTACTTGTTTTAAGGCATCCAAATCCCTGCTGCTAAACAGTGGATCACTATGGTAAAACCGTTCGACAATTAGCAAGTTAAATGACGACTGTTTTTGTATTTGTTTTTAAATTGAAGTTAATTTCTTAAAGAGTGACGAGTCCATTTCCATTAGAAAGGATTGGATTTTATAAAAGCACCATATCAAGTTGGAACAGCACCAGCGTTTACAGTCTAATTTACAGTAATTGCTACACAAACACTATTGTCAAAACAACCACGACCTCACAATTTCCAAGTTGGAATTGGAGGTCGGTTGCTTTTTTTCTGGCAAATTATTTGCTTTGACTGTGTCTGATTTTATAGTAATATTCGATCACATTTCCTAATAATCCGACCTGAAAACTGGGAGAAAAATCTGCAGCGCCTGTTTTTTCCTATCGGCTGCATGAAGCTCCCTCTGGAAGATTAACTTTAGTTGTTGGAATTAATTTTACAGAGTAGATGAACATTTAGAGCTGAAAAAAAAAGAAACACACTTGTTCCAGGTCATGGAGATAATCGGTGGAAGTATTTATCCTCAGAGTTCTTGGCAAAATTAGCTTCACTTGTCAGCAATTCCAGCAGCAGCGGTTGATTATGTTTTTAGCTAATTATATTTTGCACATATATTTTGCATCATTTCCTATGTCAGCCCTGGTAGATTTATATGTTAAATCAGATTTGAAACCTGACGGGGAACAAAGCAGACATTTTAAGGGAACATTTTTACAAAAAGATCCTGATGTTGGAGCTGATTCACTGCTATGTGCAGTTCCTGCATCTTTCATTATGTTTCTCTTTCACACATTTGAATCTGAGGCGGGAAAACTAGCTTAGCATATCGCAAACGTTAGAAATGGGCAAGAGGTTCAATTCAAACATAAAATGATTCTCTCCAGCTGATTTGTTGATAAATTCACAGGCATGATTTATAATAATTGGTCTGAGTCCGGTCTCGCGTGTGTTTGGGTTTAATCTAAGCAACTGGCTGCTTGCCTTTCAAATAATGAGGCATCAGTTTAGTCATTAGTTTTGAGAGTGAGGTATGTTGATTCAACTTTCCCTTTAAATATAACATAGTCAGCGGTTCTGTGTGAAATAAAATCTAAAAAAAACCCTGAGGTATTGCATTCTAAAAAGCCGACAAAAATCAGCTTGCTAAACTTCTTGTTATTTCATTTTCCTTTGTATGACCTGCCAATTCAGCTGCCTTTTCATAAACACCTAGAAAAATAAGAAAGCAACCAACAGACATTTCTTGATTGTCTCCATAAGAGTATCACAGGATGTGAGCCTCACTGGATCAAATTTTTTTAATTCCCAAACAAAATCTATCAAAATGTTCTCAAAGCACATGTCGGTTGTTGCATTCACTGGCTCAAAACTCTGGGAATTCTGAGGTTTGATATGTTAAGAGACTTAAAAAAAAAAAAATTTAAATATTCAGTGAATCGTTTTGATAACAAAGTACATTAACTCTGTTCACAAAGCGAAACCCATTAGACGTATTACTTGCACATACAAAGCTGTTTTCAAACTTTTATTTCTCTCATTTATGATAATTTTCCACTTCAGCCAATGAAAACAAGGCACTTAAAGTTGGAAGATGACAGACCAATAAAAAAGGACAGCAAAATGTTTAGATTTTAATGTTCACAGTTCAGAAATGTAGGCTTAGTAAAAATGTGTTTCATACTTTATTTCACAAGCTTGCTTTCAAAATGTACTTTTAATCCGACCAAAAGCATCATTGGTTGCATATTCTAATTTATTGAATATACCTGGCATCTAGGGCCAAAATTGTGTGATTCTAATATTAAAATAAATTTGTTTTTAATTTTCAAAACATGTCACTGTTGTGATATCTATTTTAGCTCACCAACTACACCATAAAGAACCAAAATCATCTCCAAATGCATGTATTTTACTGTAAATTAGAGATTTTTTTACAGTGCAGTAATGCCTGCCTGCTCAATCGATAGTTGAAAGTCTAGTGTTTCTGCTGCTGTTGTTTTGTGGGCCGGAAGGTGAAAAGTTTGGGAATCGGTTCTCTACGCAAATATTGCCCAAGTCGGACACGATTAGGCGGGTTAATCATCAGCTTCTGTGGTTACCGAAGCCTCCCCGATTTTTTTATCCCACCATTTTTCTACCAACACCTGCATATCAGCTCGCCCTGCTCCCAATGTCCAGCGACGGAGACCGGACTAGCCCGCCGAGCGCCCGACAGGTCTCCCGGTTCCCGCCGTCCACGCGCCGTTCCCGCGGAACGCTCTCCCACGCGGCGACGCGCCGCCGTCAACCTTTGTCTGCCCATGCCTTTTCAAAGACAGAAGCCCCATTTTAAAGCCACCTGCTGGCCAAACAAGTCAGGTCAAATCATTGCCGCCTAGTATCTGCCCCGTCTGTGAATGTTTAACGGAGACGGATGTTTGCCTTGCCTTCATTTTGCTAGCCACAGAGAGCTAACGGGGCGAAAGATGGGAAGAGACGTCAAGGAAAGCACATTTCTTACAGAGCCCGAAGAGGCAAACAAACCGTTGGCATCGAGCGCTCTACCTAACCGTAGACGGTTGGTCCAACGTTTGGTGCCAAAAAATGAGCCTGAGCAGGCAGCGGTGGAGCTTTGGTTGTTTTAAGGCATTTCTCATAACTTTGCTGACAGAACGTGGCGTCAGCGTCAGGACCAACAGAAACCCTTTCACAGTGTTCCCTTTGTGTGTGTGTGTGTGTGTGTGTGTGTGTGTGTGTGTGTGCGCGCGCCGAGACGCTAACAGGCATGTTTTAGTCCAAAACCAGGAACAAAAAACAACAGAAAACAAAGATGATTGGACTTTTGTTGTAAAATACAAATAAAATTAAGACACAGACTTTTTATTTGTTATTCTTTGCAGCCCTCAACAGATGATAGAAATCTGAATGTTGCTTTTGTATCATACAAACAAACTCGCAGGCAAAGAGAAAAGAAAAAAAAAAAAATCCACCTTCCCCTCCACCCCCACAGTCCAAGATGGACACATCTGCAACCGTTTTTCTATCTCAAAAGTTTCTGCTACTTTTGTGTACCTCGAAGGAGTTCTGCTGCTTTTTTTTTTTTTTGACCGGAGTTCAAATACAGCTGAATAAAAGCATACGAAATAAACACATGTCTGAAATTTTAAGGCGTCTAGACAAAGATGATTGTTTTTGTGTCATATTTTAGAGGCTGTGATTCTGGCGAAAGTGAGATGAAGAGTGTCAGAATGCGAGAAAGCGTTTAGTTTAGTTTTTTTTTTGGGCCTGTACATGTTTGGTAAACGAATGTTCCCATCATAAAACCATAATGTCAAAACATAATGCATCGTTTGATTATTTTAGTTTGAAAATGCAAAATACTCGGTTCTCAGGGTCAAAAATGGATGAATAGAGATTTGAATTGTGGTTGAAATGATCAAATTTTGAGTGTAAAAAAAAGCAAACAATTTTTATTTCATCGGCGCTTGTGACCTTAGGAAGTACCGTGTCAAAGTTGATGTCACAAATATTTTTTACCACAAATAATGAAGGAGCAAAATCATACAAAGTGAAAACCTCTACAGTTTGGAGAATGACAATAATAGATAGAAAAAAACAATAAAGATAAAAAAAACCTCTGAAGCATTTACTACTGCAACTTCAAATATGGAGGCTGTTTTCATTGGCCGGTGGATTTTTATTATTTCATTATATTTAAGAAATATGTGTTCTTGTCCTTCTTTGACCCGAGAAATACTGACTGCTTGCATTTCAATGTCATATTCTACATTTAAAAATGCAAACAAAAATTCTTTGTTTTTAGGTTGCCATCATTTCCAAAGAGAAAATCCAAACATTAAGACACATGTGAGCTTTTGCACCAATTGTTTTTACATTGTGGGGTGAAGAAAATCATTGACATAATATTTTAATCACAGGAAAAAACAAACAAACTGCATTTTAAATTGAACATTAATTAAAACCTCTCAATAATTTTGTTTCTTAATTACTGTTTCTGTGAACATTCAACATGGATGAACTGTTCACATTAAAGCGTTTTTTTGTTTGTTTGTTTTGTTTTTGAGTCAAAGACTCTGGGTTCATGTCATCTTTACTCCATACCGACAAAACCAAATTATTAGTGACATTTTTAGTTTTTTTTTTTTGCATGTACTGTATTTAGCTTCCTAGCCTTTCATTTTGTTCTCTCACCAGGTTTTGGACTGGCCTTTTTTTTGTTTGTTTTTTTCTTTTCTCCGTCTCTCTGCTGAAGAAAATCCCCGGAGGTGGTCGAGCTGCAGCGTGAGCGAGCGTCCGCAGAACGCTTCATGTGGTTCGCAGGACGCAGGCTGGAAAAAAAACAAAAAATAATTGAAAAATTTTTTTTTGCAGTGCATGTAAAATGGCTTCGTTCAGAGTACCAGCTTCTCGTTTAGACGCGGCAGTGTTACATTAGCCATCCACACCGAGACATTTTTAGGAACCAAAGTTGATTTTTTTATTTTTTCTTGGTTTTGTTTTTTGTTCTCATGATGAAATATTGATGTTGTTCCATGTATGTGCCTTGAGGTTGAACTTACAATGTAAAGTCCTTGAAACCTTTAAATGTTTTTGCACAAACTGTAAATACTTAAGTGAAGCTTTTGGAGAAATAAAAAGAGCCATTGGATTTAAACTAACTATTTTTTCTTCTTCTTCTTCTTTTTTTTTTTTCTTGTGAAGTCACCCAGCATTCTTGGGTTTTACGCAGAAGCTGGCTAAATTTATTCTGGGTCAGACGGTCGTAATTCTGGGTCAAAGATTTCAGCTATCCGCGTCTCGCTGCGCAGCGTAGCGCAGCCGCCGCAGCGAGCCGGGGGAAATCCAGGCTTTGACTCGTATGGCACTGGTTTAATCCCAGAGTGAACTATTTCCCCTAAACTCCGTCCCAGTTTGGAAACCCACATTAGCCCGGTCCTAATTCACTCTGACAATTAACCGCAGCTGGAACACGAAAGGGCGTGTCACCCTGGTGTTTGCAGTGGGAAGTTTCTACAGTCCTTAAAAGCCCCCAAAACGTCAAAACGTGATTTGTTATTACAGAAGTGAAGGTTTTATGGAGAGGCTAACCGGGTGAAATGAACTGTGGCTTCTGGCGCTGGCATCCGCCACCTTGTTGTTCTTCCCTCCTCCTGTGCTGTCCACTTATATAAAAGTTATGCCCTCGTCAACTTTTTTTTTTTTTTACTAAACTTATGCTCCCAGCTTTAGAGCTAATGGCATAAAGCTCCACTATGGGTTCTATGTGATGTGGAAATCTTTGTTTTCTAAGAGAGAGAGGGAAAAAAAACCCCAGAGCTTTAGGATTTGGTTTGACCCAAAGTACAGTAATAGCTTTGAACGGCGCCGGGTCTGAGGAAGGAACGGTCTGGACAAAATCCTAAAAGCTGCGAGAAGCGTCGAGGTGTTTAGGCAGAAAAACGAACCGTCAGTCGTGCAGCAATGCAAGTGTTTCATTTTCATGCTTCGCAGCTCAGATTATTGTCAAAAACCTTTTGACAAACGTTGGCTGAGTCGTGCCAACCTAGCAGAAATAACCTGTTTGGTTCTTCCACGTTTACTGGTTAAAATATGTGCATAAGATTGCGCTCATAAATGAACATCTTGACAAAAAAAGGCCAAATATGACATTTTTAAAATAAATATCTGGATTTATATGCAGAACATTCATGTCCAGGTAAGCACGAAACCTTTCCGACACCTGGAATATTTACATTTGAAATTCTAGTATGGAAAGAAACTTTCTCTTTAAAAAAAAAAAAAAAAAAGTTGTTAAATTATTTAGATCTTTCTTGTGTATAAAACAAACCCTTCTTGTAATTCCTGGTTGATGTTGGAAAGCTTTTTGCTGTCGCCATAATCTTTAGTTGCCTCCAGAGTTTTCCGGGTTAAAATCTGGTTTTGCCACGAAACCAGATTTCAACCACAAAATGTCAATTTAAGAGAAGCAACACGGTAAGATTGAAGGATTATATTAAACCTAAATTTGTCAAAAGCTTAAGCAGTTGTGGGGTTTGTTGCGCTGCATATGTGAAAGGTTGCAAAACTAAATCCTTCCACCTTGAATTAGTAAAAGTCTGGAGAGAAAAAAAATCACTATCAGAATGTATCTTTTTTGTATTGCATGTTAAAGATGTTTTACATTTTTAAAATAAAATTCTACCTTCTACATTTGATGTAACTGTGTGTGCCACTGAGTTTACCTTTCACAATTCAAAAGTTTTAAGCAATCCCATTAAACCGTTTCTAATTCCTGCAAACTGTGATTGGAAGGTATTTTATTCTACGAAGCTAAAATAGTTTTTTTTCTCTTGGTTTTTGTTACTGCTATCTGATCAGATGACTTCCAAAGCGTCATTCTTTGATTTTCCTGATGACGTGGCGCTAAAGGCCTTATCCAAATGCTAATGTTGGCAGCTAATAAGCTGTTGCGCAATAAATCTACCTTCTTAGCAGCTGTATTCATTTTTACTTATTTGCATATCAGTTTTATGTAAGGAGTTTCAAAGAAGCAGATTTCTAAAGTATTTCTTTTCATTGGAGAACAAATGCAGGCAAAGCTTCACGTTTGAACTCTGAGAAAAGTACCTTCAGCAATCAACAAGCTGGGCGCTATTGATGTTTGTCAATGAAATGATCTCCTTGGTAAAGATTTACAATGAGGCCGACACGCAATCAAAAATAAGCTGCTTTTTTTGAACATCAACAGTATTTTGAAGACGCTTCCTCACTGCACAGAGTCCGTTTGCAATGCAGCAAGTCTGCGAAGTCCATTCAGTGAAACTACGGCGGGGTCAACCGGGCCCAACTCTATCTCCGGTCCTGACACAATAAAAGCGCCGGCCACCATCTGAGGCCTGATGCAACCCACAAACAGAGCCGTGCAACCAGCTCAGCGTCTGGGAAGTTTCCCACGGTCGGATTCGTTGCTTCAGTTTCCCTGCGGATTATTTGTTTGCGAGTTTTGAGCTCACCTGCAGCGGCTGGAAAAGGTTTACACGACCTGGTTACGCACCATCTTTTTATGATGTGATGAACCGTATTGAAGGATTTTGTAAGTTGTATTGTGGAATATATAAAAATGTCAACAGAAAAAAGAAGTTACATTTAAAAAAAAAAAAGAAAAATGTGTTTATTGTTTTGATTCAGGTCTACAGTTGGCACTCCATCCATCTTGAATGAACTTTTACCGTGTTTTTTAAGTGGTGTTGCGATTATTATACACGTACATGTTTATCAATGTGATTTCTCTTTTTTTTTTTGCCTTAAACAGGTTTACAGGCAGACTTTAACTTATGTCTTTCTCGCTTCCACTCCTAACTCCTTCGTTCCCTTTAAACCTTTTCGCCACCTTTGTCTCTCTTTATGTTTTCCTTGTTACGTTTGAAATAAATGTAAAAGCAACTTCTAGTTAAAGTCACATGTGTACAGGTAAGAAAAACAAATAACTGAACCCCATTGAAATCCTGCTGGTTTGTATTGATTCTGGTCTCTTCCTGAGTTCAGACATTAGTTTCTAAATGAACATGAACTTGTTAGCTTTGCATTATTTGAGGTCTGAAAGCATCATTCCTGTTATTTTGGACCATTTCTCATTGTTTGCAAATAAATACTACATTTTTGCTTGGGATTTTGGAGACATGTTATCAGCAGTTCACAGAATTAAACAAAAAAAAAAAAACGTTTGTTTTACTCAAAAATAAACATGTAAAGAGTGAAATCAGAGAAACTGATCATCTTAAGTTGTCTTTGAGTTTTTTTTTCACAGCTGTACATCCATTGGGTGAAAGTAAATCCATTGGGCCTCACGTAACAGTTTGGAGACGGGACGCGTTAAAATAAAATAAAATAAAACAGTTGCTTCTCTGCTACCTAGAGAACTTCTCACAGTGGCGCCTCCCACTTAACCGGGTCTATAAACCACTTCCCGTTTTGGTCCAAACCGTCTCTTTGTATCTTTTCCTCCAACTCCAGTTAATCCTCCTGATCCTGCAGGTTGAACTTTAACCTCTCAATTTCATTCTGGCTTTAAATCTGCAAGGATAATGTGAACGGTTCTGAGCGCCGTTGGAAAACGTAGCGCAGAAAGTGTCGCATTTCTGTAGCACTTCAGCGTGATTACAGCATAGTACTGATGATCTGCTTCCATAAGTAAAAAGTCATAAGCTGACGGTTGAGTGATACAAGTTTTCCAACATTTTTCTGCTTCTGCCAACTAACAACCTATAGGTCTCGACACATTTTTCTTCTCATTATAACAAAAGAAAACAAAAAAAACTATTTTTTTTTGTTTTTTTACAGAAGTTGCACTGAAGAAAACTTCTTCTCTAATAGGTGATTTCTCCATTCGCCGTACGCTGCAGTGTTGGGCGCCTTGGAAAAGCCTTTTATCATAGGAAAGGTGATGTCTCCGGAGACAGGAGTACAGAGGAATAATTGGCTCGGACATAAACAACGCTTTCTCGTCGTCTGGTTTCCTTGATTTAAAGGCGCGGTGCCTTCGCCAGCCAAGGATTTTTGAAAATATAAACTTTGTCTAGGGCTGAGCTGGGCGAGAGATTTAATAGAGAGAAAGAAACAAAAAACAAGAAAAGGCTTTTTTTTTTTTTCTTTTTGCATGCACAAGATGAAGAAAAGCTCAAAATAGCTTCAAATGTGCTGCATATGGCGACTTCTGGCTCCCAGTTGCTGCTGATGTAAAAGTCACCGGTGGCTAAACTAAATGTGAACCCGACTCTGTCAATAATTAAAGCGCCACCTGCCAAGGAAACTTTGAGCAAATTCCCGAGTTGCTGACCAGATTAAGGCTCCGGGAGCTCGCGGAGCGTGGCGACGCCTCCATATGCCGGGCCGGCGGGTCGCAGGAGTCGCCCATCCAGGTGGGACGACGCAGCTGTGACCTTGAGAAGGACCTGGTACGGCCCGTAACCCGTGGAGACGGTGATGAACAGTGAAGGCGGCGGTGAGGGACTCACAGCTACTTTCATGTTGGGTGGGGTTGGGGTGGGGGGTTGGGGTGGGGTTGGGGGTGCTCGGTGTTCTCGGGAGACCTGGGAGAGTTGGACTCTAGGCGGTGGACTTTAAAACAACTTCCAGAAAAGTCAAGATTTCATAGAAGAAGAAGAAAATTTCAGTTCACATTTTGTTCTGCTTTAAATTCTCCATCGACGACGTTAACCCTCTTATCAATTTTTTTTTTTCGGTCCAAGGCCCAAACTGCGTCTTACGGGGATGTATTTATTACAATGGCAGTGACTTGAATATTAAAGGTCAACTCATCTTAACATGAGTTATGAAGAGCCTTGATAAGACTAAATGAAGTGAGCGCATTTAAAGACTTTCAAGGCCTGCAGCGAACCTGAAGCGTCTGGGAGCCTCAGGACTCGCCTCAGTCAATCTGACCTGTACAAAGGCTGTGGAGGAGAGACGAAATACCTTCGGTTCAAGCACACAGGAAGTCCCCATAAATCATTGGTGGAGTTAATCTTTGGGGTTGTGATGGCTTTCATTAAAAAAGAAGAAGAAGAAGGAAAAAAAAGGGGCCAATAAACTCATGTAATACTTGAGCGATGTTTCTCCCTCGTGAAGTAAGAAGACAAAAGATGTGACCAAAAACGTTGAGAGATCTAATCATAGCGAC